ATATGTTTTTAGATATATTTAGTTAATTGCCAACATTTGGCTCTCCGTTAAAAGCATTTGAGTCAAGCTTTGCCAGTCGCTTTTAAAGTTAGAAGAACCAGACGACTTCAAACTTTCTAAAAGTTGTTCCCAATTTATGCTATTTTGCTTGCAAGTATTCAGTGCAAGTTTCATATTAAAGTAAAACTTTCTGACCTTGCAAATTCCCGAAATGCAAACGTCTCTGGAAACTACGTTGCAAGGAGTGCCATCGGCCGCATAATCGCCCCATGGGACTATAATTGTTTCATTGGCATCACTACAGTAAAGTTGACACGGATCAGCTAAAACAGAAAAAAACTCATCAAAGAACCTTAAGGAAGGGCAGGTAAATGAAAATACCTTGGTCGAAATACGGCTGCCACTCATATTTCTTCCCTTCGTACGTTTTGTTGTCGTACCAGGAACATTGCAGAGCTCTGTAAGTTGGTTCGCCTTCTGGACAGGGATCCGTGTTGCAAATTTTGTACCTTTTTCGTTCACCTTATTCACAAACAAAGATGTGAATTACTTCAGAGGTTTCAATTCAAATGCTCACCAACGCAAAATTTTCCGCCGGCTGTTGGCATCGGATGATCGCACTCTCGGCTCATGATCGACACTCCAGATCCGCAAGTTCTGGAACATTCTGACCAGCTGCCCCACTCGCCCCATCCTCCATCTATAGCAACTGGGGGGTCCATCATTGGAACACATTTCTGATCTTGGCACCACTAAAATTTCCATACAGCGGTCAATGATTAAAGTGTGATTTATTTTTCAAATGGTTATTGGATTATATCTGATTACTGATTATACTGATGTGACTTGCTGTAAGCATACCTTGTGTTTGGCGCAGTAAGTTCCTGGTGCGGCCGGTCTTAAGAGAGTCGTACAAGAATCGTTAACTGTGCACCAAAGCCGGGAGCAAATTTCATCCAGTTGGGTGCACACGGTGGCATCCGGAGTGCCAAACTGCAATCTGGCAAAATTGATTTCAGTCTAACTGTTTCAGTCGCGAATTTCTAAAATTACCTGCATTGGTAATTGGCATTATACATTGCGCCTGCTGGCAATTTTGGATATTCGTATTCGGTGTTTTCCTCCGGTTTGTCCTGCAGGCAACTTCCAAGTCCTTTGCTGCAGACAAACGTATGCAAAAATGTATTAAAATTTTGGTCACTTTTGGTCACAACATATATATTCATGTTAGGTTGGTGTTTTATTAGATCAGTATCAGTATTATTAGATTTTGCTATGCTTTGTTTCTTATTATTTATTTATTTATTTAATCACCAGAAAAGACAATTACATAATTTCAAAGTAACACGTAATTCTGCAAACGTAGGCTTTTTAGAAAAGTTTGTAGTATTCTTATATCTATAATTAGCTTCCTTTTACATGACTTACTTAATACTTTCATGACGTTGAAATTAGGACAAAGTTCAATAAATATTGTTATAGCTTATAATAGTTATTGTTTCTCGCTAGCAGCTTTTACTGAGTTTGGAAGTTGAAAGCGTCTTAGTTTAGGTATCTGTTTCCATACATTTAGACATTCTACATCATACAAATGTATATCTATTTAAAATTCGAATAGGAATATCTGTAGAGATTTCGACCAAGATAGTGACAAAAACTACGTTCAATTAGTTACTTAGTAGCATTAGCAACAATATACAGGGTGTGCGAATAATGCGTTAGGAAATTTTTAAGGGTGATTCTACATGTTAAAATAATAGTAGCAAGTCATGTAATAAAAATTCGAAATCCGAATATTTTGTGAGTTACAGCTCATCAAATTTCATTTTTTCCTTTTATGTTTAAACAGTGATACGATAATTACTATTAATTGTCAAATTTGCCACATTTTAAAACCAGACGACTTGATTTCCTGCGATTGTAATTAAATCCAAGTATACTGGTATGGGAGTGATAAAAATTTTTATGTCGATTTGCTCTTAAACAAAGAGGTTTTGCGAGTCGTATGAAGAGCACATTCTTTGTCTAGTGTTTTCTAACCTTTAAAATCGCACATTACTTTTTCGATATTTGGAGTGGCAAAAAAATATGCGAAAAATTAAATTTAGATTTCAGGTAAAGTGTCATCTAGTGGTTCAGTGGATAAACAATTTTTTATCAGAAAGTTGTAGATCTACTATTACTAGTGGCAGTAAGCTTAGTGCTTAAACTCAGTACCGATTTTCAATCTGATTCGCGAAGGAATGTCCAGAATAGCTCAAAAATCAAAAGAAAAAAAATGAGCTGTAACACGGAAAATATTCAGATTTCGAATTTTTGTTACATGACTTACTACCATTATTTTAGCATGTAGAATCACCCTTAAAAATTTCCTATCGCATTGTGCGAACACCCTGTATATTTTTTTTAATTTTAAAATTTTATATTTGACCCCTGCATTAGAGTAGATCCGAATTGCATAACACCCAAAATTTGTTGAACTCATTGGAACATGGGAGTGAGCTCGGAAAATATGAACACCCTGTATATGACTCAATTGACCATCACAAAAATCCTTGGTAAAAAATTACTCCTCAAACTTGGTTTTCTAACCTAAACCCATCGAAAAAGTGACGAAGAATATCCCTGGAATCCCTAAGAATGTGCGGAATTTTCATTCAACCCGATCGGAAGCGGGGAGACCCGAAGAATGTGAAAGAAGCCGTTGCGAACCTTCGTGAGAATGCGTGGAATTCGACTGGGGCCAATAGGAAGCCGGTTTGCCTGAGGAATTTGAAGCGCGCCAATCCGAGTCTGCTAAACCGGTTTTGATGCGCAATGGAACCGGATTTCATTAGACGAATGTATAGTAAATTAGCGTAAATGTTACCATGAATGGGATACCGGAGCTTCTTGATTTCCATTGGTAATCGTGTTAGTTTGCGCATGTTGAATGAATCAATAGGGCTATTTGGGGCCTTTGGGCAGCATGGAAAGACATCGAACCAAAATGGACGAATTGAAAATGTTTTTTTTATAATTAATGGAATTTAGAAAATGTTAAAGAAAAACGTTGCATCAATATGTCAGGATCAAGGCGTGAATCGCGTTTAGTCAGTAATTTATCTGTAGAGAAATAGCGGTTATTAAATTCCGCAAAATAAACACGTTGACCGTGACCGTTTTTTATTTCTTTATTTTGATGCCACTGTATTTTGAAAACCCTCCAAATTTGGTCTCGACAAATTAGATTAAACCATAATTTCATTTCAATCTGCGGTACGATTTGATACCGTCAGCTGCAAAAAACAAATTTATGATCTGGAATTAGTTT